TGCAACGCATTTTAGTCACCCTATTCTGTCACAACTTAATGATTCGGTGTGGGTCGAAATAAAAGTTCTCAGAAGTAAACCTATCCTTATAGGGTGCGTATACCGACCGCCATCATCCAACCGCGAATACGATAACGTACTCAGCAACATATTTAGTGTTGCATCCAATCTCCCCTTCAGTTATAATATAATTGGAGGTGACTTCAATTTGCCTGATATATCATGGCGTACACTTCGTGGACCCTCGAGGTATGATAATCTTCTTAATTCCATCATTACTGGAGGATGGACGCAACACATAAATGTACCCACTAGGTCCAATAACATTCTTGATCTTATATTCACGATCAACGTAGCACCATCTACAATTCATGTGGGACATGAATTCCCAGGTAGCGATCATAAAATAGTTGCATGTTCGTTTAACATTTCCCCAGAAACTATACACAGAAACGAAGTTAGTCGGACACCTATAAGACCATACACGCGGGTTGATTGGGACTTGTATCAGGACTTGATTAGATACTCTAATTGGGATTCCTACTTTACCAATGACTCCTTAGAGGAAGTCCTTAAAAACTTCTATGACAATATACAGTCGGTTAATGATGTCATAGCGCCTGTGAAACTGATTAAATTCAAAATCCCTCAAGGTGATTTTATTCCAATATCATTAAGAAGAAGTTTGCGGAAGCATTCATTAAGTTACTATAGACATGACGACTTATCGTCGTTAATCGCTATCAAATCAATCCTCATTAGAATCCATGAGTTAAAAAATCTAAGTCTTAGGAATAAAGAAACGCGGGCAATTCAGTCGCCACATAACACTGGAGAAATAGCCAAACTCTTCAAAAGTAGGTTAACTAACTCCAAATCAACATATCCAAAAATAATACACCTAGGTGGCATTACTCACGAAAGTGCTGAGGATATATGTGAGGTGTTTAGCACGCACTTTGCCAAACTGTACACTCTAGAAAATGACCAGGATATAGATTTCCCTCGTAAAACAGAAAAGTGTCTAAGCGATGTAGTCTTAAACGCCCAAGAAATCGATAAAGCTATCACAACTCTTAAGCTTACTAATACTCCCGGCCCAGATGGAATGTCTTCCGTCCTCTTAAAAAATGGTGGAAATGACATGAATCTACTTCTTCTCAAGATATTTTCAACTTCGATAAGGAGTGGAACATATCCAAATAGCTGGAAGAAATCCTACGTTGTACCCATTCACAAAACCGGACCTACAGCGGACATAGATAATTACCGCCCCATCAACATTACTTCCGTAGTTTCACGTGTGATGGAAAAGATTGTAAAGAAGCAAATTGTTCAGTATTTGCTCTCGAATGACTTAATATCCCCTTTCCAATACGGTTTCCTAAATAGAAGATCGTGCATTACGTGCCAGTTAGATTATTTCGATCACATTACTGAATGTGTAGACAAAGGTCGTTCGGCAGCAACATTATTTCTAGATGTTAGGAAAGCTTTTGATAAAGTCCCACATAAAAGACTCATACTGAAACTCCTATCTTATGGAATAAGTGGAAGGCTTCTTGAGTGGATAACTTCCTTTCTTACAGGAAGAGAACAGTTAGTTAAAGTCAACCATCACTTATCAACATCCAAACCGATAACCAGCGGCGTGATACAAGGTAGTGTTCTTGGCCCTACCCTATTCATTGTATTCATAAATGATATTGTCTCTATGATCAAGTATGGCAAGCCATACCTCTTTGCAGATGACCTCAAAGTTGTCTATGATTTTGACTATAATGATATGAATATTGTTAGTAAAATCCAAGAAGACCTAAATAGTCTATGTAATTGGAGTGAAAAGTGGCAGTTAACGTTCAATCCAGCTAAATCTGGGATAACATACTTCGGACGTTGGAAACCTAGCATGTGTCTATACATGTACGGTGACCTTGTCTCAAACACAAACACAGTCACAGATCTCGGGATAACATACTCAGATCTTACCTTTACTGAACATGCAAATAAGGTGGTATCTGATTGTAAACGTCTAACCGGCTTTGTGCTACGCAACTTTTACACTCCAGAAGCCAGATTAGCCATATATAAGATATGCATTCGCCCCAAACTTGAATACTGTGCCCACTTATACAGTAGCTTCAAGTCGGCAGACAGAAAAAAGTTGAAAGTGTCCAAAGATTCCTTACGAAACGCATATTAGGCTATGGTCAGCAAATAGAATACCTTGACAGATGTATTCGACTGGACTTAGAGCCCTTATGGTTAAGGAGAGTGAAGTGCAATTTATTTCTCTTATTCAAAGTTATAAGAAAGCACTGTAACAGTAACTCGTCCATAACCTGGGCTAATCCTAAATCGTATGGACTACGCAACCACAACTACCTTCTCAAGGTTAACACCCATAAACTCACCACTAGAGCTAACTTCTTCACCATTAAATATTGCAAACTTTGGAACCAACTACCCTCTGAGATAAGATCCTGTGAAAGGCCTGACAGTTTCAAAAGGAGCCTAGAAAAACATATAAACATGTCCACCCTAGCCCGCCTCAAAGATCTCAACTGCTGGTAGAGTGGAGAGACAATGGCTTTTCAATATTTAACTACGGAAAGTACACTAGTCCCAATACCAATATAATAACACTTAGTAATTATGTAGGTTCAATACTTGAAATTCGATTGTCATTAAAATACTTAAAATGATTAAAATAGCTATGCGGCAAGTGTTCTCTTGCTTTACCATGCTTGTTTCCCTTATAACACTCAGTTATTGAGCCTAATGTATTCTTTGATAATACGAATTATGACACTGACTATGCTCTTATTATACATAGATTGATTTACTTTACGACTACCTGTAGTACTAACTACCCTTCTGTAGTATTGTTAAACAAATGCTGAAATTTTGTTGGTTCTGTTAATATCTTTTTATAATATGTTTAGACACGTTACTTTGCAATGTCAGATGTCTACTATATACAAGACTGTCATGATAATTTAGTACACTAAGTCCTGCCAACCGACCTTACCTTCAGTTCATACTACCTACATTGATCCCTAACTATATTGTTCTGCTGAATCTTGCTTCACTATTCACAAAACCTATTCTTTTTATTCTTTAAGGTTCTAACTTCTTGTAAAGTAATCTGTTCATTAGGACGCATGCATACATATATAATGTTCATAAAGATGTACGCGGAGACCTATTGGAAGCACTCATTAAGAAAGCTAGGGAGATGGAATATGAGGTACGAACATGTCTGGTACCAAGCAATATATTTGCGGTAGCCATAATAATCATAGTCTCAGAGCTTAACATCAAAAAAGGAGGGAGGGTGGCGTTAGCTGATCAGTAGATATGGTGGGGGTCACTAAGGTGAATCGCCCCATTCTGCAGGAACAGCAATATACAAATTAAAGGCTCGAGATATTTCTGATTTTTATGAGGGCTTAGATCTTTATCTTGAAAAAGATAATAATGAACGCCTTGACAGATCATGCTTCTACCTCTAAATATATACTATTCGCCCAGCCTATTGTTGAGATGCGACCATGTGGGATGTGCACAGTTTTATGGGGCATCTTATAAACTAACTTGCTGTCCATTGACTGATCTTTAAATACCACTTCACAATGTCTTATCTCATTCATTTTCCAATAACGTCTTTACTTGATCCTCATTATATCCCATTAAACCTAACATTTTACAGCTCTTTATGACTTATTATATTCCTACTCTCTGAAGGGTACGGTTGTACATTAAATGCACAAAAAGGTATAAAACAAAAACAACTGGCACAACTGAGGATAAATGTATTAAAACCAAAAGTGGACATCATGATAGTACGAGGTATACGTGTAGCATTATACATTGCAAATGAACGTTGTCAGCCTAGGGAGTTTTTTTTATTAATGCATTTATTAATGATACTTGCACTTACCTATTTCATTACAATTTAATGATTCACCTCAGCACTTTTACTTTTCTAAAACAGCTTTCAATCCCTTGTAAACGTTGTACTTACCTCAATATTGGTTGGTTATCGTATGCCGACAACCACGGGATGAAAACGAAACGAAGTCGATTTTCCCGCTCAACCTGGAGGACAACTGTACAATTCAATAACTATACAGCCTAGTTCAGACAATGTGTATTTATATATATATCAAATATTTAACTGTTGAAACATTATTAACTTGTAGACAATCTACGATTTGATATTATATCATACTTGATCGTGCCTGTAAAAATGGCATGCATTTTCATGTAAATTTATATGTTTATATGAGAATATACATTATTATTATTATTATATAAGCAGGTCACTTCATCTTCAGTCTTTTGTAGACATCTGGGTGCGACTGCATTGAGATTGCTCACGTATGTAAGCAATATATAAATATATATCTAGACGCATTCTCAGATGTCCACAGAGCTTTAGGACCAGCCCTCTAGAGGATATCCAGAGGAAGTCAACGAAGGAAGAGCATATAAATTGACTCCAAAGACTTGAACTGTAAATTTTCATCTGCAGAAAAACTAGGCACCATTGAGTTATAGCCATTAAAGTAGTAGATAGGAGTATCTGCATAAAAATATATTGCTTATCATATTACTACTTCGGGTATCTTAAAAAGTTCATTAGAGGCCAGTAGCGAAGATGAGGTCTATGTCTGTTCCTTTTGAGTTTACCACTCATGGAATCCCATGCAATTTGTCATAGTCTCCACTTTATCGGTTGATTACATCCAAAATAGTCCAGATGCGTACGGAAGAGAGAAAGAAATCAGTACATTCAATGGAAAGACAGCTTAAGTCCGCGAAAATTTATATATATTCTACCCATCTAATTCGTTAATTATTTTTCGAATATTTTGTTTCTAACTTTCCGTTGAGATTTTCTGGATTCTTCTCCTCAAACATCGAGAATAGTTTTAAAAAATCGAAAAATCATAAGGTTTACGAGAGATATTGTTCATTGAATGTGTAGTTAGAATACACTACTCTTCATTGTTGTCATGACCTAAATAACATTAGAATTTTTAAAAGAAAAGAAAGAATGCTCAATGCTTATAGAAATCCAATATTTGTCTATTACAACTTATTTGACCTATCAAGTATAGCACAGTTTGCAGCTGTTGCTCCTTCCCCGTCGAAAGATTTTCATCACCTACTAATAACAGCAGACGAAGTTAGTAGTAAAAGTACTAGTTTTTCTGAATTTTATATTGATAAACACTTTTGAAGTCAAGTATGTTTAGAGGTCAAATGCCGCGATATGCAATCAGTCCCTTTAATGTTATGTAATATATAATCATTAGCGTAGTATCACCACGATGGTGGTGCCCCTTGATGTACAAGAACTACTTAGACGAATCTAATTAAACATCTCTGAAACAACGAATAGCCTTCTTTGGCTAAAAAAGCTTCACAATGAGAACAATGAGATCTCAGTTAGAGTAGAAAGGGACACTCAGTGGAACGAAATTGCGGAGTGAAGGACATTTGGGATGTATATGGATAATTTGAGTTGCTTTCATCACCTTTAATGACCCTGAATTAGACTTATGTGAAGTAATTGAGAAGCAGTCACTAGTGTTGATTTTGTGAACACACATTATTACGAAATGCTTAGCAATATTGCTAAGCATTTCCACTCAGATATCATCCATATGGATGATATCTGAGTTTCTATTCAGGTTAATTACAGTTGAATTCTCTTTGTGACTTCACAACCACTTTGGAACATGTTCTTTTCGACGACATTGGAACATTCTATCGGTTGTACTTATATATATATATATATATATATATATATATATGTCACTGCAACTGCTGCGGGGGTATGCTAGCATATCCCCGCTGTTTTATAGGTCTAAGTGGTCGCGAAATCAATACCAGTGACTGCTTTTCAGTTATTTCCCATAAGTTTGATTTCAGGTTTATAAAGATGATGGAAGCACCTAGAATTATTCGCATTTCTCCCAAACTATATGTTCACAAACAATAGAGTTCAACCTTTTCCTGCCATAGAAAACTTAAATATGATTGGTTGTCAATAGGTTTGTTTTATTTAACTGAGTAACTGTCATACATTTTATCTTACTACTGTGATCCATGCTACTTGAAAAGTCATTGTAGAGAAACCACGAAGTGATATAAACTCGCAATATTTGTCCTCCAAAACTTTTTATTTAAGATAATCAAAGCGGCTAACTGTTTCAAGTAAAGGGGAATTTGTCAATGAACAACCACTTTACACTGATGGAGATTTTCATGTCCCCTTCTTACGCATGATGTATACGCTTTTTCTGTAGATTTTGTCCCGATATTCGCTCTTGTTCGTTTCTTAGTTACCCCTTTGTATTCTTATAATTTCCCCTCTTAAAGCTTGGCTTTTACCTTATTGTTCCTTAACTTCCCTAAATAAACGCCTAATTCTCACTTTGATACCTATTACCGGGATCACCATCATTGTAAGACCAAGTTACACCATAGGCATAGAAAACTTGTCCATTATTTATTATTACTGTTTTCTTGGGTTCCGAGTGGAACATAGGGCTTCAACAACACATCTCCACTTTCTTCTTTTTCTGCCGTCCTATTCAGCCTACTAGCTCCACGATTGCCCAGACTATCATCTCTTCCTCTCACGATCACCTCGATGTCACCTGAGAACGACTCACTCGTCCCTTCCCATTTGGATTCCACTCGAGCAATGGCCTTCATTGAGCTCGATTTCATTCAACAGCCTCCCCAATCCATGCCCGATCCATCTCCATTTTCTCTTACATATTTGTCGAGCGATCAGCTCTTGGTTAGCTCCTTGACTGAGTTTATTGTTGCTAATTATTTCTGGTAAGCCATTTGATCTTCAATATGGACACAGTGGAAGCAGCTATTGATGAAAGTCTGCAACCTTTTGGAAATCCTTTCCGTTATACGTAGTGTAAGTTTCTGACCCGCACATAAGGACCAACTTGATGTTGGTGTAGAAAATGCGAATCTTGTTCCTTATGCTGAGTGTAGGAAATTTTCATATTGGTCGATGAAGGCGTATTTTGCTTTTCTGATTCTGGCTGCCTGGCTTTGACGCCTTCATTCGTTCCGCCTGCAGTTTAAACGATACTTCCTAGATTAGTGTAGGAGGTAACCTCTGTTGAATCTCTCTAGTTGATGGTAATCGGTGCTGGTTGTCGTTGTTGCACTTCGTTGATTATCTTGATAAACGCCATCTTCTCTATGTTCTCTTAAAGTCCTGTCTTCGCTGCCAGCCTCTTTAACCAATCTGATGGTTTTCGCCCACTAGTCTCCGAGTTTGTGTGACATTATATATATCATCTGCAAAATCCAGACCTTCTAGAGTCCTCGTGTCGATGGTCCAGCGTACTTCTGACTCCTCACTCCCTGTGCAAAGTCTGACGCACAATCCAGTCCACCACAATTAAGCATATTATCGGTGATAATAGACAGCCAGCCTGTTCTTCTTTTGCATGCACTTCGAACGCCTCAATGAGTTTTTAGATGTGGATCACCTGACACATGTAGCTGTTGAATGAGGTTAATAACGAATTGAGGTACACCATAGTGATGAGGTAGTTCCCAAATTACTTCTCGGTCAACGATGTCGAAGGCCTTTTGGAAGTCGATAAAGTTGAGGTGGAGATTTGGCTGCCATTCTATGCTTTGTTCTGTGATGACAATGCGTAGAGTTGCAATTTGATCAGGACACGATTTGCCTTTCCTGAATCTAGTTTGTTCTGCTTGGTGGAGCTCTTTATCCAGTGCATCCTCTATTCTCTGCAGGATGATGCGACTTAGTACTTTATTTGGGTAGAGAAGAGCATAATTCCAGGTCAGTTCTTGCAGAGGTCTAGGTCGCCTTTCTTTGGCAGCTTGACCAGGTAGACCTCCTTCCAATCGGCGGGTACCTTTCCTTCCATCCAATCTTCTTGCAGTAGTGAAGTGAGCACGTCTAAGACAGTCTCTGGGTCCGTTTTCAGTGCTGCGGGTTGAAAGAATTCCGTCTGCTCCTGCTGCCTTCTTGGTCGGCATTCAGTAGCTTGATCGTACTGAAGATTTCTGCTTTCGTTTTGCGATTGGTGTCCACTTGTAGGTAGTTCTGTAAATGCTGTTGGTGGTGGTGGTATTTCTAACCGAGTTGCAGTTGTTGGTCAATTCAAGAATCCGTTAAAGTGATCAGCCTACTGTTTTATTTGTTTCTCCTCCTTAGTAATCAGGTTCCAGTGACCAAGTTCTATTGATTTCATCATCTGAGTTGATCTCTTCCCGGATAGATGACTGGTTATCTGATATAATGATATAATGTTCATTATAGACATTTTATACTCAAGTTGTATGGCTTTAAGGGAAAAAAGCAATTCTGCAGATGACTGAGTTATTAGTATTTCATAGTTAAAATTTACAAGTTATATACACAAGTAGATTATGAATTTCTTTTCAAAGTTAAAGGAGGCTTCTTGATTTCACCAATTAGCCGTCATCCAAAAGATCTATAAAATCATGCTGAAACGAAAAGAAGGATTTATTTAATAAGCAATACAGTAATCCTTACAGTTGGAATATGAACGTTTACACTTAGATTAGTGGCTTTATGTCTATTAATAATAATACTATTAGGGATAACGAAAATGTGAAGAGTTTGTGAATTATTGAATATATCGACCTAATTATATTTATATTTCAATAAGAATACATATTATGAGAATGTTTTAAGTACTAATTAAGGTTATTGGCGGTAACAACTACATGATAGACTTTTACGGCATTCATTTAATGAAAGTAAGACTTATGGAAGTGCTTTTCCTATCAATAGTCTTGTTTTTTCCAGGAACCCATTGAAATGAAATCAGTATTTGATTGGACAGTATACACTGAAACTACTCACAGTGCATTCACTGAAATCCACACTTGCTCTTTTCCAGCTTTCCCTTTTGGTAATGCAGTCACGGATGGTCGTGGAAATACGTCTCAATGACCGCCTTCAGCTTATTTCGCACTTTGTCTTCCGGTATTGTAGCAGACACGAACTTGCTAAGAATGACGGCTGAAAGCATTATATAAATGAATCAACCTTACATGTAGGGATGAATCGATAGCACTTGCAGTTTGTCAGGGTTCAGTATATGGTGAAGTGACTCGAAAGTTTAGGCTCTCAAATATACTTCATAAAATTTTATCCATCTAAAAACCATCAGTAGTCAGATGGAAACTTACGAATGAATCCCTGATTTTTGAATTTTTGAAGGACACCTCCAGTTGTTTGAATTCCTCCCAGCTTAGCCAAGGGAATTCCAGTTGACTATTGTTAATCAAGGATGTACTGTTTCCCAGGGTGGAGAAGTTTGTTTTGTAATGAGCGTCAACAACTCGGCTATCAGTTTTGTAAGGGACTCTAATTTTTTCCTAATCTCTTCGATAGCTTCATAACTGAAAATTAATTAGGAAGTAACAAAGACTTACATAGTACTAAGAGTTAACTGTGCGACTAGGGATTTGCTTTTGTTGAAATGCTGAAGGAATATGGGTAAAGTTAAACTTTAAGCACCACTAACTACCAATGGAGTGCGACCACACCAGTGACCTTGAAGGGCTCACTGAGTAAATTAGTGGGATCCGGCAAATAATAATGTCATCATCAATAAAATATGCTCATCGAAGGGTTATGCTATTAAATGAGATACCCAGCAAGTTTCAGCTTGGGATTGAGAAAGATTAAGTTACGCTTTAAGGCAAGAACAAGTTTGGGCTAGATTAACCTAATTAAAGTGACATTAAGGTTGGTTCAAGTTAGATTACAGTTAGTTTAGGGATATTTTCACTTTAGGATTAGGTTCAGGGAAGATTAGGGTTATTGTTAGGGTTAGAAGACCTAAATAATTACATGCATAGAATGTGGTTAAATTATTTTGTTGACATAAGAATAGAACCTGTGCACTGTGGTATAGTTTAATTTCATTGCCAAGGAAATTTATTCTGATAAAGTCTCACAGTGTTATACAGTCGTAATATTTACTGATGACCATATTTCCAGCACAGTCTATTGTTCAGTAAATATTGCTGTATAATAACACTATGAAACTTTATCAAAATAAATTTCACCCAAAACTGAATTATACTCTGTTGATACACCAACCTAGAACTGAGAAATATTTTTGTCCCACGTGAGAG